TTGATTTATATAATAATAATAATAATAATAATAATAATAATAATAATAATAATAATAATAATAACATGATAATAACAATAATAATAATAATAATGACTTTTTTAATTGTATTAATAGGATTGTGGAGGAATAACTGATGAAATACATTTTAATTTTGGGAAAAATAATTTATTTCATTACTGAATAGGCACACATACATATATATTTGTAAAAAATAATAACTAAATAAAAGGTTGTCTAAACTAAGAGCTAAAGATAAGATCCCAGTACATTTTTTATTTATTGTTTTTTTTTCTATATATGGATGGAGTGGAAAATTTAATTAGATATCTATAACAGTGTCAAACGGGCCGGGTCGGTACGGCCCGCGCTGGCCCGCGGTTCAAACAGGGCGGGCCAAAATGGCCGTATTTCTACGGGCTGGGAAATCCATGGCCCGTGGCCCGCCCTCATTAGCCCGCTGGCCAAATCGGCCCGCCCGCGGGTTTTTTGGCATTATGCACTCTTATATATTTTTGGTTTGTTTATTCTTATATTTACTAGTATATTAATAAACTAGTAAGGCTTCATGTGTAATGATGTTAAATATTTGTCATCCAATTTTTATTTTTATTTTTTTATGAATAGTTATAGGGTATTCATGTGGAGGAGAGACTTAATTTACATAAAATATTATTTGATTCATTAATATTTTTATTATGTAAAAAAGTGTTTCATGTGCATTCACAAATCTTAATATCATTATCAAATTTTAAAAAATAAAAAATAAATAAATATGGAAGAAGAAGAAGAAGAAGAAGAAAAAAAGACGATGAAGACAAAATCCAACAAAATAAAAAAACGGGTTGGACCGCGGGCCAGCCCACCCCAACCCGCTTTAGACTGCGGGCCGAACGGGGCGGGCCAAATAGGCCCGCGATTGAACGGGCTGGCCGAGCAAAGGCCCAAGCCCGTCCATTTAGGCTGGCGGACGGGCCAGCCCGCGGGCCATGGCCCGTATTGACAGTGCTAGATATCTATAAGCCACTTACCAAACGAGTTTGAAATAGTAACATGGAAAATCTATATGCATGAGCGCAATCTTTCTAGGTTTGATAAAAAGCACAAGAAACAAGCCGATGGAAAATAATTCATTGTCTACAGTGGCATAATTAATTAAGCAAAAATAGCCAAATTAGTCATCAAAATTATTAAACAAGGAGCCAGGCAACGAGTGTGATATAACACGTTAGAATAGCTCAGTACACCGGTGGTGATTAGCTCGATCTACGGCCCAGTGAGAGTACAAGTAGCTCGGCCAAGTTAGAGTAATAATAACTCGGCCAGCGGCCCAGTGAGAGTACAAGTAGCTCGGCCAAGTTAGAGTATTAATAACTCGTTCAAGTAAAGAGTATTAGTAACTCGGCCCAATAAGAGCATTAGTAGCTCGGCCAAGTAAAAGTATTGGTAGCTCAGTATAGCATGAGTTTGTAACAAGAGTATAGCTCGGCTTAGCAGTAATTGGGTTCAAGGGTTCATCATAGGAGTAGCTCAGTGTGATGCGGCAGGGGGACTTTTAAGGAGAGCCTGTGAAAGGCTAAAGGCCGAACTAGTGTGGCAGTTATGTGAAGTGATACATAAGGGGACGCGTGTAAGGTCAGGATAAAAAAGGAATAAATGATCTGACGGATGAGGAACAAAGCGTACGAGAGAAGCTAATAATTCCATATAAATAGTAAATGGAGGAAGAATGTAAGGTTAATCACACTCTAAAACTCTAAACACTACAAACAGTTACATACAACTTTCTTCTATCTTTTACTGACTTGAGCGTCGGAGGTTTAACGCCGGGAGCACCTCCTGGCGTCTTTGCAGGTCTTCGGAGAACAAGCGGTTGAGAACCAGTGGAAGGCCGATTCGAGGTGTGCGAGAGCACATCAGAGTGAACAAACGGTTGAGAACCAGTGGAAGGCCGGTTCAAGGTGCAAGAGCACATCAGAGTGACTGCATCCCCATATTCTTGTCTAATTCAAATTTGTCCACACAAAAATTGAAAACATAGAAAGAAAAAGAGAAATTATTGCTCTTGCATTTCTTGATAGTTCTTGGTGCTTGATCTGACCAAACAAATTAAAAGGAATAAAAAATTACTTGAGCTATTGGTAATAGTTGAATAAAAAAATCTTAAAAAATGTTGGATCTAAGGAAGTTTTTAAATGCCATTCAAAATGTCAAACAAATATTACCTACTTAATATTTATTCCTAATTTAATATACAATTTGATTATTTTACTTTTATACATAGAAAATTAATTTAAGAAAACAATAATCAAAATAAGTAAAGATTAGAGATAATTACGTCGTCTCCAATTTTTTTAGAGAAATATTTATCTACCTCATTATTAATCTCTAGTAATTGTTATTTTCCTTTTCACATTTTTTTGACTCATTTTTTAAATGTACCTGCAATATTTTAACAATAAAAACGCAATAAATATAATAAAATGAAATACTGCACAATAAGATTCCAGAAGCTCAATATCCCATCTCAACTAATTGAGTATATGAGCAATAGCAAAACATCAAAAACAATTCATGTAGTGAATAATCGAACCGAGATAAGCATAAATTGCCTAAATCTTTGGACGAAAGGAGTTTGAAAGCTCTCCAAATGAGGTGCAAATGTAAATTTTTGTGGTCAAAAGTCCAAATACACAATTTATTGTAGCAAAGTTTTTTTCTTATTTTCTAGTCTGTCGTTGAAAAAAGTATGGAATGTAGTGAAAAAAATATTTTTTTATACATATTTTCCAAATATGGTAATCTTCATCGTTGGTACATTAATCTATTCACGGGTCACCTGTCAAGATTTTTTTTACTGCTAAGAGCTCAATTGGTACATTAGTATATTCACTAGCCTTGTATAGTTGTATGCATGATAGGTTTGTTATCTCACACATCATGATTTTATATATTATCTCACACATCATGATTTTATACATTATAAAAGGGAAGAGAAAATCTCTGCATTAATTTCTCAATCTTAAATCAATTTTCTTATGTGCCCCAAGAAGAACTATTTTTCATTTATAAAAGAAAATTCGAAAAACCAAACAAACTATATAAACTAGTCATTTAGTCCTAAAAGACAAATAAAAAATCACTAACATAAAAATGATATGTATGGGAAAACCCGGATCAAGAAGCTTTGTTGCTTGTATACTTTCATTAAAAAAATGTTATACTATTAAAAAGTAAGTATAATATTTAATAGTATAAATATGTATTTTTATTCATATAGTATAACGGGTCGATTCGATTAACCGTTAGACTGTCCGGATCGATTCAATTAAACGTTAGACTGTCTGACACAATAATTTGTGTAATGAATTCTCGTTAAATTATTCACAAAAAATTCAAACCGCAGTACTCTCACATCCACTGTTTTTATCTTTTTACTGGTATCTTTTAGAGCATCTCCAATGAAATGTGTATTGTAGGATTGTAGGAGCAATCCCATAAAATTCTTCTCCAAGGATATTTCTTTTACTTCTATTTGTGCTTGTAATATGACATGAAAGAGAAAGAATTATTCTAGAAGTCTTTCTACATGTGAAAATACTTCTAGATTTGATGACTCATTTTTTTCATTTATTTATTTCTTTTTATCTTAATTAAAATATATAACAATGTTTATATAAAGATTATTTTATTTACTAAAACATGTATCTAGTATTTACTAAAATACTAGCTAAACTTGAAGAAAAATTTTAATTTATAATCTATGTCGTTGATTAAATNGCAGTAGTGGGTGAGTCTCCCAAGAAGGGTTTTCTGCATCCACAAGGACTCGAACCCGAGACCTTGCTTCAGCGACATCAAGCTGCTTACCACTTGAGCCAACTTAAATTATAATCGAAGTCGTTGATTAAATTATAGTTTTTTGGTATTTATTTGTACATACTTTATCAAAAGGCAATTAATTTACATAAAGAAAAATAAAAGAAAAACAACAATCACTCCTAAAATTGTATTATAAATTTAATGGTATATATATTTTTGTTAAAATTATACATTATCATACGTCATACTTAACAAAAAATACAGTTTTGGACGGTGGGTGGTAGCTCTTCAAAAAATAAATACCAGTTAATCCAACGAAAATATGATTCAGTAAAAAATAATTTATAGTATTTGATTACTCTTCAACTGTGTAATATATATTGTTGAAAATAAGCTTCAAAGTTTGTTCGGCCTACAAGTTTTTGCCATTTTGTTAGAACAAAAAATAAATAAATAAATAAATAAATAAAGCAAAATTTACGTATATATACCTTTATCAGAAATAGTGTGATTTCATGGTTCAAAATTTATTCGACTCTTCATTCAAGTCTTTTTTGGCAACAAAAGAAAAAAAACACAGACAACATTTACCATTGGATAGTTATTTAGGAATATGTCCTTCCATTCAATCCAAAAAAACCATCAATATAAAATGCAATCCATGGAGAATCTCTTATGCGCATCAAAAGTCAAAACAAAAGAAGTCAATATTTAAGGAAAACCCAATATTTGCATGTGAAATTATAATGGTACAGGGATTTATGTTCAGACTTGTTTCGCCCAATAATCCACTTAAATATGTCTTTCTCAAGTTATTCTCAATTTGTCAATATGTGACTCTCACCGCAGTTGAAAATGGTACATTGTCTTTTGAGAATTTAGGCGCATATCTATATATTCCTGTCCCAAGTTATTGATATACCTTGATTGGAATTTCAATGTCGCGTTCGTGATCATGTTTTGACTCAGACACTAATCGATAGAACGAAACAAATCTTTTATTTTACTTATAGTATAAAAATGAAGCCGAGTCGAGACAAACAGTACTCATTAACTAATAAATGAGTCGTCATTAAAAAAAACAGCTCGTATAAATTGAACTCGAGTCAGTTTAATGAATCAAACTATAAAAAATTACAAAAAAAAATTTATTTTTTGACTAATTAAATAAGTACTAAATGAGCTCGAGCTCAATTCATCTATCAAACGAGTTGCGAATCGATTGTGAGCTCACAATCGACTCATTACTTTTACCAGCCTCTTCCTCGTCCTCCATAGTATCACACAACACCCTCCCTTTAGTCTCCGGCAACCAAATCACAAACAACCCGCACGCCAAAATCGTCACCCCAAACACACCGTACGACAAGAACCACTTCCCCCCGTTAGCCGCTGCCGCCACCACCAACGGTCCCAGAAACCCGCCGAGCAAAATCGCCTCCCTCACCACCGACACGGCCGAGTTTCTCACGCATGTCGGGAAAAGCTCGAGCACGTACACCAAGAGCACGTCGAAGGCCATATTCGCCCCGAAAAACGAAAGCAACTCGAATCCCATCTTCAACCACCCGTTGGACCCCACCAAAACCACCCCGACAACGTTGCAAACCCCGCTTAGCACGCACAACCCGATCATCAACGCCTTCCTCCTCATCCTCCCGATCACGGGAAGTAGGGCTGCAGACGAGAGGAGCCCGAAAACCGCGTTCATCCCAACACTCAAGTATAGATTTTCAGGTAAACTCCCGAGGCCCAACGGCATCCCGTAGTATGCCAGCCCAACCCCAAAGCCCGCCACCGTGCTTATTAACAAATGGTGGAAGGCCCACTTCTTCTCGAACAAGATCTTGACCGCCGAGTAAAAGCGATATGGCTCGGGCGATTCTTCCATCCACTCCATACAATCTACGGACAAATCCTTCGTCGAACGCGCGAGGCTCCTTAGGGTTTCCGCAAACTCTCGCTTCCTCCCCTTTACAAAAAGCCATCTCGGGGACTCGTGGGCCGTGAAGTAGACCAAAACCGAGTAACAAACGCACGGACCGCAAGTGAAAAGGTACATGAACCTCCACGACGAGCCTCGAAGCAAATAAGCCACGATCGGTAAGGATAGAAACCCTAAGGCGTAGCACAAGAAGCCGAATATCCCGACTTTTCCTCTCCATTTTCGCCCGACGAGCTCGCTGCCGAGGACGAACGCGCACGTCCCGATCGGGGCCCGCCCGAGCCCGCTCGCGAACCTCAACCCAGCATACATCCATATGTTCTCGGAAACCGCAGATAGGCATCCGAAGATGGACATGATGAGACAGGACAGGACAAGCATGTTCTTCCGGCCCAACCGCGAGTCGGCCAGCGTGGCCAGGCCCAACCCGCCTATGAGACAGCCCAAGTAGAATGACGAGGCGGGCAGGCCACGGAGGATTGGGCCCGCGCACTGGAGGGACCATTGGGATACGGTGGATGTGCACGCGGGGGAATCCCACGACCACGAGGTCTCGGGCAGGCGACACATGTTGGTTTCGGCGTGGCATGGTTCTGTGCAGCTCCATTTGGGAAAGGCGTCGGTGAAGATGGTGATGAAATTTTGTTGCGCGTCGAAAAACCACGCGAACGAGACAAGGGCAAAATGGGAAATTTGGGCCCAGTTGATGCCGCCGATGTAGTGCTCGATTGCGTCGTCGAGGGGGCGGGGATGGTGCTTGGCAGCCGGCGGCGGCGGTGTGGTTGGTGGGTTTTGTGGTGTCATATTAGTGTTTGATTTGATGTGTATAGTAAATGTCGCTAAATTTTGTAGCTGGTTGATGGTAAAATCTTTCATGGCTACGGTTGGTTACTTATAGATATTGTCAAAAGGCAGAACCTTTAAGACTATAGTATATAATTTTTTCTTTTTAAAGGAAAGTTTTGTTTTCAGGGAACAAGACACCTGGGGAGTTTGATTTGTCGGTGGGGTGGTGGTGTTCTCACGTTTATGAGGGGGAGTTAATTTCTTCAAGAATTGTCGTTATTCAAGTTCAACTATAGTNCAAATAATTCTTATTAAGTTATCTCTCCTATATTATATAATTATATATATTCATTTTTTTATTATAATGTTTTTTCTTTCAAACATCACTACACGGGTGTCGTACTAACAATTTTCTAATTCATAATATATAGGATTTTATGGATAAATTCATATATTATTACTAATTAATATTATTTGATGTATAATTTATAATTGATTTTATTTTATTTTATTTGTTATTCATATTAACAAGTAATTTAATTTGTTATTCATATATATATCTAGGATTATATAAGAAAGAAGATGGTGAAAGAAATAAGAATAAATCTTTACCATTGGATCCATTAAGTCAATGATTATGATTAAGTCAAAATTTACTAATGTCAGCAAACATATTGTGACAATCTCGTAATTGAGTGGTCATATTGTGGTCAAATATAGACATTTATCCACTTATTAATGACATGCGTTATTTTTACGTACATTTTATAGTGATTTTCGTGTTCGTTGCGTCGTAGTTTAATATATAATTAGTTATTATGTAATTAATTATTATGTAATTAATTATTATTTAATTAATTAATTATTTTATTAATTTTATCAAGCTATGACGAAGGTGTTCTATTTTATTTTTGACAGGAAATATGGTCGAATGAATTTTTGGAGTCGAAAACGGTGAAAAACGGACGAGAATTGAATGCAAGTGATTTATTGGAGCAGGCCCAATCATCAGCCCGCAAGAAAACTAAATGCAGCCTTATTTTTATTGAGTCAGGCCTATAATTAGGCCCAGGTGCACAAGGAAATGGGCTGGCCCAAGAGCAATTAAATGAACTGCATAGTGGTCATTTCCAGATACCATTCTTCTTCTTCACACTACACGCACGGGACCTGTCCGCCATTGACGAGAATTGTGGCCACAGCTTCATCCTCACCACGTCGCTGCCGGACCAAATCGACACCGGAGACCATCTTTATGACCTTAGATTCCATCCTGTCGCCAGACTAGAAGCCTGAACGTCAAATACGCGCCGGAGCTGCTGCTGCACTTTTCCACACGATGACGGAAGTTGACAAAAGTGGCCGGAACTCGCCATGGCCGGCGACCTGATCACCCGTTCGCCGTCCATACAACCTCTCCATCCTCCTCTGCAGCCATCCTTTCACCACGGAGAAGAAGCTTGAAGTTGCTGCCAACCCGCCGGAGGAATCGCAGGCAGCCGGAGCTGTCGGAACTCGACCGTTTTGATCGTAATCCGACATCCTGAGACACCTTGGATGTCTGTAAATGCATCAGGAGCCGTGAGCTGCACAGAGGATTGGATTTTGCGCTGTTTAGAATTCCCAGGTACACACGGGTCGTGTGAGCCCGAGTCGCTTAGACGGGTCGCTAATTGAGCTCTCGGTATTGTCACACGACTCGTGTGACAACTGACACGAGTCGTGTGACCCTGGGCGTGATTTGTTCGAGTTTGACGCGTTTTTTCGAATTTTATGGTATTTTTGACCTATTTCGACTAGGACTCGACCTCGACTATACATATAACACTTGGACACGTTTTTGAGGAGTCTTGAACATATTTTGGAGATCTTTGGAGGCTTGAAACACGAGCAAGACGAGGGAGAAATCCGAGAAGAGCAGATCGACGGAGCCGAATAAGCTTTTTCTTTCTTTTTCTTTTCCTCTTTCGAACTCAATGTTTTATATCTATTTTTCTTATTTTGAAATCATGTTTCTAGGCTAGATTTATATTAGATTCTAGGATTCGTTAGTGTTCGGATTGATTTATGATTTAGTTTTTATTTCTTTCAGTCCAGTTTATCTTTCGTTTATGAATTTCTTGTGGTTATTATTATTGTGTGAATAGAGAGCCACTATGAATGCATATTTGTGATCGATTTGAGACCGAGAGAAGATAATTGATTGCTAGAATCGGGAAATTCATAACGTAAGAGAATAAATAGACCGAGAGGTTGATAGGACCTTACGAGAGAACGAAAATCCTAGGAACTTATGAGAGTTAGTTGTTCATCTTGAGACCGAGAGGAGATAGATACAATTAATATCTACGATTTAACTTGTTCGAGAGAAAGGTTTGAAATCAATTTAGTGATTATCTATACAATTGGTAAAATTAAATAAGGTTTGTTTGAATATAAACGTTTCATGAATTAATTCCGAGGAACGCTTAGCCTTGCAGGTCGCCGGCAGAGTGACCCACCACCCGCCTACCACGTCGGCCTACGCCCGCTGCCACAGCCCCTCCATTCCTGTCGCTGATAAAAAGGCCGAAGATGAACGAGAATTTTGCATTTTAGAATTGGGGCTTCTTTGTGAAAATTTGATATGTTTAAGGGACTCAATTATAATTTTATAAACATCAATATATTACAATTCAGTTCGTGAGTTAAATTTGTAATTTATAAAAATTTTATTAATTGCACATTAACGATAAGTAAGTTTCACAGTAATATATTTATCTAACATTTCATTTTTTTAATAAAAATAATATTTTAATATAAAAATATAAAAAATAATATTTTTATATAATTTGGTCGGTCTAATAATTTAATTTATTTTAAAAATAAAGCTGACATCGAAACGAAATAGCTAAAATTTTAAAGGTAAACTTAGATAATCGAATCGACATAAAATTCGAACACAAAAATTTAGTTCGGTCAGGTTCGGTTGCATTCGTGCAATCTGACAGTCACTAACGTGCAATCCGTCTATCACTAATGTGCAATCCGACGGTCGTTATTGTGCAATCCGTCTAGCACTAATGTGCACTCTAAGTGCAACTATTTTTTTATAAAAATATAATTAGTATTTATAATTTTTTCGTTAATACTTATATTGTTGTTTGATGAAAATAAATAATATATATATATATATATAGATATAATATAAAAATAATATTTTCTTGTATAGTTCGATCAGTTTTGTTATTTTTTCTTTTGTAAATATAGCCAAAATCGGACTGAAATAACCAAAATTTTAATGTTTTGTGAAAATACACATTGTTATGTTAATATGAATTTTTGAACTAATTAATGTGCATTTGGTCTAACACTATTGTGCAATCCGACAGTCACTAATGTGCATCATGTTTTATACTATTATGCATCTGCATTGCGAGATTTTTTTTTGTGTGTGTAAATTCAAACTAAAACCGAACCGAAATAACTGGATTATTCGGTTGGTTAATTGAATTAACCTAAATAACTGAAATACTTTATTATTTATATTATAATACTATATTTAATATTTTAATATTTTATTTAATGTTTATATTTTTGTTTGAAAAAAATATAATGTATATAGATATAAAGAATATATATATATATAAAAATAATATTTTTTTATATATTTTCTATATTGCCGATCTGGCTCATTGATTAAATTGAAATATAATCAAAATTCTCAAAATTTAGTAAAATTATAAATATAACCCGTGAACTAAATTGTAATTTAGTTAAAATAATAGAATTTACAAATAAGTCTTTAACTCTTGTAAAATGATCAACAAAGGTCCCTCTAACCTAAAAATCATTTTCTCGGACAGCCGCCGCACACATGATGGCTCTTGCCATCGGCCTTCGTCACGTGTTGGTTGCTCCATCCGGCGACGTCCGACGGACGACCAATCAACTCGAAAAAGAAAACCAGGGATGCTGCTCAATGCTTCGAACGACTCGTGTTGTGCTACAGTCACCGACTTTGACACTCGCGTTGAGCCTCATCGCTGCTGCCGAAGGCGCCGGACGCCCTCTTCCTCACCAACGTCATCGTCTTGGTGCTACCTGAAAAAAATTAAATAAAAAAAAATTGTGTCGCTGTGATGCTCCGGCGGTGATGACGGAATGATGGTGCAGGTGGGCCGCCGACGGGCAGGTCGACAGGTGATTGCCCGCTCAATGATGTGTGTGTGTGTGTGTGGGTGGGTGGCTGATGACGTGGTGTGTGTTTGTGTGTGAGTGTGTGTGTAAGAGAGAGGGAATAATAGAGAGATGTGATGTGTCAGGTGGGACTCACATATGATTGGGTGTCAGGGTGTGTGGTGGCGTGGGTCTCATTGTTATGGTGTGAAAAATTACCACATTATCCTTGATTAAGGTATAATTTAGGCTTTTGTTTAGCCATTAAATCATATTATTTAATGGCTATGATATATTCTTATTTCTAGGGCTGGGAATTTTTTTACTGAAAATCGAAAACTGAACCAAACCGACGAGAAAATAAACCAAACTGAACCGACGAGAAAAATCATTTTCTCAGACAGCCATCGCACACATGCTGGCTCTTACTGTCCGCCGTCGTCACGTGTTGGTTGCTCCATCCGGCGTCATTCGGCAGACGACCAATCCACTCGAAAAACAAAATTAGGGATGCTGCCCAATGCTTCGAACGACTCGTGTTGTGCTACAGTCAGTCAGTCACCGTCGTTGACACTCGCGCTGAGCCTCATCGCTGCTGCCAAAGGTGTCGGGCACCCTCTCCCTCACCAACGTCATCGTCTTGATGCTACATGAAAATAAAATAAAATAAAAAAATTGGGTCGCTGGCGATGATGAAGGAGCGGCGACGCTGGGATGCTCTGGCGGTGATGACGGAACGGTGGCGCAGGTGGGCCGCCGGTGGGCAGGCCGATGGAGATGACCGGTGATTGCTCGCTGAATGATGTGTGTGTATGTGTGTGTATTGGTGATGACGTGGTGTGTGTTTGTGTGTGAGTATTTGTGTGAGAGAGAGGGAATAAAAGAGAGATGTGATGTGTCAGGTGGGACCCACATATGAGTGGGTGTGTGGTGGCATGGGTCTTATTGTTTGAGTGTAAAAAATGACCACATTATCCTCGATTAAGATACAATTTAGGCTTTTGTTTAGCCATTAGATCATATTATTTAATGGCTATGATGTATTCTTATTTCTATGGCTGACAATTTTTTACTGAAAATCGAAAACCGAACCAATAGAACTGAACCGACGAGAAAATAAACCGAACTGTAGCGAATC